CTAGTAGTGTCCTTGCTCTTAGTAGCGATGCCAGGAGCCCCTAGTAGCGTCCATAGTGTCCTTGCTCCTAGTAGAACGCACAGCACTATGAGAGATCTATGATCTATACGTTTCTTACGCACAGCACTTGCTCCCCTGGCTGCAACACGTCCCGTTCCCTTTGTTTGTCCGCATAGGCAACGACACTGAATTCCGGTGGAAGCTCTTGAATGGGCATAGCCTTCCATCAGAACTGTAGGCTTGCGGCCTCTCAGTTGGACCTTCCAAATTCCCAAAGGGTGAACACTTTGCTCACAGTACACAGCACAAACAACAGAACATGTCCAGCAGTGCTTGTCATGCTTCCGTTTTCTTAGTTTCTTTGCCCTTTAGGAGGAGATGAACCCACCAGGAAGATGACATTAAGCATTCCAGAAACTCAGATATATAAGTGAGATCAAGCACTACTGTTACTTTTGCTTTAGCTAGATCATGCTAGATCACTGACAGAAAAAGCCTTCTTTTTTGGCATTGAGGCAGGTCCTAGCAGTCTCACATCCATTTCAAAAGCTTCATTGACCTTCCCAAGTTTCGTGGTTCTTCAACGACACAAAGTATGTTTGACCTCCCTTTTTATTGAACAGAGAGAACCATTCTATTTTCTGATCTCTTTTGTGTCAGCGCAATCAAATAAAGTCATCGAATCAGTCAGGAGAGCGATCCGGAGGAGCAGTGCCCTGACAAGGCGGCCAGGGTTGGGTATTCCCAGAGCCCCTAGAGACCCGTCTCTTGCGCGCTACTTCCGCAGGCGAAGTTTGGCACGTGTTCCTATGGTCCTCAGCAGCTCGGATGACAGGGATGCGCTGGACTGAACTTGTTGCAACACCCCTTCATACTAGAAATGGCCGTGGGATGCCGTGGGTCCTAACATGTCCTAACTACCTGTTGTAACCAGTGACTCAGTAGCAACAATGCTTTCTGGCACGCTAGATTGGACTAACTGCTTGTGGTTGTTGACATGGCTGTGCGACAGCTAAGGTGTGGCTTTTGCTTCAGATAAGCCGGCAAGGCCTTGGCCCTGAGAAGCTCCAGAGTTTAGACAGTGGCAGAGCAAAGGTCTCTTCGACTGTGGGACAAGTGGCAGAAGAATGCTAGCAAAAGAAGATTGGTCTTGTTGGAGTGCCGGCCAGTGTGGGGTGGTGCTAAAATTGGTGACATTTCCATAGTTCAAGTAGCCGCGGAAAGTCACCAAAAGATTGCAAGCGGTTGCTACCAAGACTCTCGGCCAGTTGCACTTCGAGAAAGCTTCAACATCGCCGTGTTGTGTGCATCAGCCCACTGGCTCAAACATGGGCAAGAATCATCAAGAATCTGGACTTGTCAATGAATCCTCAAAGGAAGCTGGCAATGCCCAGCTTGAATACTGCCAGTGACTGCTACAGCTTCTCCGAACCTTTCGAACCAAAACAAACCTCTTGAGCTCCTAAACACTTGGCTTCTGCGTACTTTGATTTCTGAAGACATCTATATAAGTCTATATAGTTGACTATAGAGTGCCCCTTTTCCTTCATGCTAAAGTGCAAATCCATGCAAATCCCCAAAAGCTCTCCTGGCCTTCCAAGCTCCGCTCTAAGCTTAGCACGGTGAAACGAAACAGGTCGCTGCGGGTCACCCCATCTCCCCACCTCTCGTGGGCCACGGTGCGCCGCCGCGTCGGCCGCCACGGGGACGGAGATCCGGTGGCCGGTCCGGGCCCCAGGAGCCATGGCAAGAATGCTCCGTTTGTAGCGATGCCAGGAGCCCCTAGTAGCGTAAGGCCAGGAGCCCCTAGTAGCTTCTTGTTACTGGCCTCCAACCTAATGGATGGCCTCCAACCCAGTTGCGATGGCCGAAGTCGTGGATTCGTGTTTCGTTCGATATGCCGCTTTGCACTGAAGGTCTCCCTTCAGAGAAGTTTTCCGTGGGATTGTTAGGAGTTGTGGACACTGAATCAACTTGGGTAGACGTGACAAAGGTATCATTAGCGGACGTCTCAGCCTCTCTCTCTCTCTCTAAGACATGCAAGTTGCACCAGTGCCTGCAAGCTGAGGTTTGTCTCTCGTGCTGCCAGGGCATGACGAGTGAGGTGCTCTCTTGGCATTTTTCAGCTTTGAGGTTGGCCTTTCATACCTAAAGGGATAGGTAAAGTCATAAATTGTTACAGCATGGTAAAGAATGTCGGGCACACGTATCAACTCTTCACAGAGTCCCATGGCAGAGCACAGAGCTGTAAATGAGCTGTTTGCAACCCTCAGAGCTGTTTCCATCACTCCAGATTCGTGGTACATCAGGTTGCCCCCTGCATGCCGTTCAATTGGTTCCGGAGGGCATCAGGCCATGCGCTGTTGCAACAGTCAGAGAAGCCCTGGAAAGATCCTGGAGCCATTGCCATACTTGGAGATGTTGCTAAAGGAGTTGGGTGCTGTGTGACACTGTGTGGTCTGAGAAAGCCAGTAGAATAGAGCCTTTTTGGCAAGCTGTTGCAGGTTGGTCTGGAAGTGGAGGAGGCACCAGTGGGCTGGTTGGATGCTTTGGATTGTAACACATGCAGCCAGCATTTTGAAATCAACAACACTACCGATGCTTCGTTGTTGTCCCACCCTTGTGCCTTGTGCGATCTTGCGTGATTACCAGACTTCTTAGGACCCATCAGAGTAATCTGAGTTGTTGAAGGGATCACATGATGATGTTCCATGTGGCAGTTTGCAGTTTGTGATGACGCGCCACCCGAGATGACATTGACTTCAAAGGACATGAAACGTTTTGACTGAATTCTACTGGTGGAAAGCCTTCGTTTTGACGAATTTTTGCACACATGGTGTGCACTCCCTTCTCGCGCCGTGGCGGTGCGAGACCGATGTCCCTTGGGGAGGTCTGATGACCGGTGAAGGTGGGGGATGGTGGGGGCGCGGAGAACATGGGGAGACTGGAGATTCCCGCCCTCGACTTGGCACATTGAGTACATGCAGTCATTTCGTTTTTGTGTTCACAAGACTTGTAAAGATGTGTCCACTTGGGGTGCAAAGAGAAGCCATTGCCTGCATTGCGCTTGTTTCATGTGCTGTTCAAACATGTTCAAATGGTTCTTTCCGATTGCAGTTCCTTGAGCAGGGAAGATTCTGAATGTACTCGCGAGTGACGGTGGTGATGGTTTTTATAAACCTCACAAATAGCTCTGAAACCTGCCTGCAGCATCCTGCGGCCTTTTGTTCGGAATCAAGGAGGTATGAAGGTATGCGAGACTGCAGTAGGACCGGCCGTGCGCTTGCAAAGGCTTTCTTCCTTCAAATTCTTGTTTGTTTTTGACATCTCAAGGTTTGTTTTTGATCCCGGACTCTCCAGGTTTTTGAGCATCAGATCATCCAGCATCCCACAGGTGCTCAGAACCGGGCCAACGACATTTGCCACCGCCTTGAGGAGGCCATGTCGGACGTATCAAGTCGGTTAGATATTATATACAAGGCCTTTTTGGAGTGGGGTCTCAAGAAATGGCACCACCGCAAGTGCTGAGTGGGAGAAACACAATGAATGGAAGGAAAAGGAAGTAGCTGCCTGATTCATCTGATTCTCTCTTGATAAATGGCGGATGCAGCTCTGAAACCTGCTCAGAAAGATATGTGGGACACAAAAATCTCACTCGATTCTCTCATCGCTAAATTGTGGTCAGAAAAGGCCACCATACGTTCATTTCCTTGTGCTTCTTGAATGTACTTTGGATCAATTGCATGCTCGCATTCTTGAGTTATTTATTTTTCACCCTCATTAAATTGTAGGAGAGAATACTGAAATCTTATGAAATTTGTAAGATCGGATGTTAACATCGGTGCAAGACTATTAAGTGGCTGGGCTTATCGGAGAATTGCAGTTCTATTCAGTCACAACAGTTTGGCTTCTGGAAAAGGGAAAGTAGGTTAGGTCTCGTGGAAAAACCTCTTGCAATCATCATGTAGAAGGCTTTGCATGGACATTGGTTCTACTTCGGGATCAATTCTTTTTGGATCATGGTTTCGAGGAAGACATGTATCGGACGCTGGCAAGAGAATGGTTGGTTGCTTGAAAGCAATGTCACATCCCTAAGCATTTCGGGAACTCATGGCCGGCTGATAGAGAAAAACAACCCAACTTATGGTGAGCTATTCCAGGGCATGGCCAGCATAGCCCGGGCGATTCCAGGCTTTAGATTCCTTGGACCGGGTGGACACAGAGCACGCCGGCCTTTGCCTCGGTTGAACTAGATCAGCTCAGGGCGCAGAAGAAAGAATCGAAAGAAGTATGTGCATTTGTAAGAGAGATGGGGAGGAAGTGGGAGGAATATTATTTGCTGCAAATCCAAGTAGTCAATGTTTGGAAAGCTTCGACGTCTCTGCCAGATGCAGCCACCTTGAAGCGACTCTCCCAGGACCAGTGTGTGAATAGTTCGTAAGTCAATCTGGGCCACTGGTTTGGATGTTCCAGAAAGAAGCGTGGAGAAGCACATTAGTTCATCTTCAGCAGTTGAAGTGAGCACTGTGGCTCTTCACAGAACTGCAGGGCTGCAACTCGATGCACTTGCAACTTGACAGGATGTGAAAAAGCAGCTGCAAGCGTTGCTGGAGGCGTGAGAACTGTGGGTACTATTAGGTACTCATGTTTGGGATCCATGGTTCTCATTTGTGGCAGCCATAGCATGTCGCAACCTGCCACAGAATCGCCCTTGGTTCGCCGCCTACGCTTTCTCGAAAAACAGGCTTTGTGCAGTGATTGCAGTGCAGAAATCGATGACTGAGTAGAAGAGAACATCCTGCATGGTTCAGAATTTGTCACTCTGCAGAACATTGCGATAAAGAAGCTGTTTAAACTTAAAATCGAAGAAAGGTATGTTGTTTTGGGGATTTGACTTGGAGGTATCTTACTCACAATTGAGATCCTCATTAGACTCTGGCTTCAGCCTCCATGAAATGGTATCGACGTGTTTTTAGATCTGGATATCGATGTTTAAAGTTGAGGGCGCTTTTTCCATGACCCCCGTTGGGTCGAGTCGATGGTGTCAAGCACTCTCTTTTTCGTTTTCATGCTGCCAAATGGCTGCGCCGAGGTGTTGCAAGAGGCCGAGCGTGGTGCTGGAGGTTACAGTCTCAGCGGGGCATGGCAAAAGAGCCCACAGTGTTCCGGGTAGACCATGCTTGTAGAGCGTCAAAAGTGTCAAACAAATAGAACCTTCAACTGGTTGGGTTCGAGTCATGTTTGGTGTCACAATCCTGGCTAACCGACGCTTCGTCGATAAGTGCAAACAGTTTGAGAATGAGGTTCAAACCAGCAAGTGGGTTCGGCAGTTTGGGGCACTTCCACCTTCATAAGACCGGCATTTGACAGGTAAACATGTTATATAATGCTATATATGGGTACGTGGCCAAGCATCACTAATGCCCTGAGCCGAGGTGAGATGCAGATCTCGGTGGTCAAGGCATGGCTTGCTAAGGTGCCTTGAGCAGCGAGAGAGGCTGCGGAGTGTGATTTCGATGTGTGTGGCGCGTGATGGGGCGTGTGGCTCTCAGGGTCAGATACAGAGAATACATAGTAGCTTCTTGCTAATAGTAGCGATGGCCTCCAACCTACTTGCGATGGCCTCCACCTAATAGCGTCCTAATATTGCTTAAGAGACAGAGACTGGAAAATATTCCTTCATACATCCTCATACTCTATCATACTCTACCCCTATGATAGCTACCCTTGTGGGCCCATCAACTCGTCCATCAGACACCCGACCCAGTGCTGCTCCGCCAGTTCCTGGCCACGGATCTCCCAAAGCGTTTGGCACAGCACTTGATCCAATTGGAGTTTGAGGCAGGAAGTTGACTGCTGGCAATTTGTCGAACCTTTTTACAGCTTCTTACTGTCGGGGCAAGGCCTGCCAGCAAGGCTCCCTTTTGCCAGCATCTCCATGGCCAGGTGCGCAATGATGTCGTCACTGTGCAGACCTTAATTTGTCATGTAGAGCCTGGAACCCGAGTCGGCAAACTGCTTCGGTAGGACTGGAAGAAGTCAATGCCCCTCACCAAGGTCTTCAGTCACGTGGTGCGGATAGGAGCTCTTGCGGATGTCGAACTGATGAAAGAGTGCGCTGGGTGCTTTTGCTGTGGAT